TGCTTTAGCAAGGCATTAGTAGTTATATAAATGTATTAATTTTGGATTAGAAAGGCTAATAAAAATATTAATTTGGTAGCCTGGGAGGGTTTTGAACGCATTTTTTAAGCATTCCAAGAAAACAGAATGAAGACATTGGCTGTTTATTTAGACCTACAGAAAGCCATAGAAGCGGTGGCACTCCATGTTGTGAAATACACCTGGCCCTCACAGCAGAATTCGTATCCATGAACAGCACGTCTTGTCTCCCTCCAAAGCACACCTGCGACTTCAAGAGGCACCACTGGGCAATCCGTTAGCCTCTCAGATCAAAAAGGAAAGAGTACCAGTCTCCACCTGTCTTCTTCACTCTTACCCACCTCCACGAGCCTCAGCCGCGTGCTCCTGCTGCCTGCATCACGCCGGTTTTGGTACTCACCGGACCTGCTCAGCCACTGATTGAGAGCGGTCATCAGTCAGACGACTAACTTAACGAACCTTCTCCTTCTCCCAGGACGCTGCCCTTGTGAACTGGAGCGATTCACAGGGAGGCCTAACTGGTGTTGGAGGTAGCACAAGGAAGAAACAGGACCGTGTGGGAAGGAGAGCCACTTTTCCACTACAAGCGAGCTATTTCATGAGCTTAGATACTCTTAACTGCAGGTTTCATTAGTTTACCGTGACAAACTAAACGAAAACTGGAGCAGGCCAAGATCTGATTCATTAGTAGATCCGGTGTCCCTGCCGGTGGGAAGACCTGGCGAGTAACAGCTTCAGCTGCCACACTGCCTGTCTGTTAGTCTCTTAAGTACCTCAGAACTGATAGTACAAATTCCAGCAAGCTCTGTGACATGCCACCAAAATAAACTAGCAGGAAATACTAAGGGCTAGTCCTAATTCTACTTCTCCCTGAAGATTGAGGCAACTCTTTCCACTTGGGATTCAGAAGCATGAACATCTGCCTTTCTGAAGGCAAATATTAAATCATTTCTTTCAAAAGTAGGACAGAAGTCACACTTACGGCACTGATACTTGGCTTTTATATCATGTGTCCCTGCTGTGTCCTCCACTTGAAGTTAGTCCTGCCACTGCCCAAGGGGATTCAAACCCTTTTTCCCCATGCACACCCTAATCACCAGGCTGGAAGCCAGTCTGGTCTGTTGGGAGGGGACCATAGAAATGTTTTCTCCTCTACAGCTGAGGATGGAGGTTCTGTCTGTTCCAAAGAGAACGACTCTGAGGTCTGGTATTGAACACAGTTGTCAGAATGGCCTGCTTATGTATTTTAGGTATTTATTTGTTACATGTTTTGTCTAATGATAATTTTAATGCAAAATACACAGTTGTGCAAACAGCGATCAGAAATCTTTTCCTTCCAAAACTCTAGCCAAAAAGCTACATAGTCACGCCATCTAATAACATGCATTTATGTTGTAATTAGAATGCATCACTGTTAATTCAAGAAACAAATTTGAAATGGATAGAAGGAAACTATTTTGTGAGTAATATGTAATTAAACTGTAACTGAGTCCATCATTCTGGGAGGGGTGAATAGCTGTAGTTACACGGTTTGTAATCATCCCGCCCCAGGATGTAAGTGCTGGCTGACTAAGGAAAAAAAAATTGTCCTTCCTGATTATAAGACCCTGCTGTGGATAAAGGAGCATTTTGGGGAATTCAAAGAAGAATCCTTCTGTAAAGCATTGCAGGCCATTGCCAGGGTTTACCACATGAAGAGAGACCCTCTAGTATTGTATTTGTCCTTTTATCATTTATTAGAGAAAAAATATTTGTTGTATATCATATGCCCTTAATTTTCATTAAACAAAATACCACATTTCCATGTGCTTCCGCGCACAACTTGCCTAATATGTGAATTACATAAAATCTGACATAATTTAAAAAGGTACCTCATTTTGCAAACATCCAGCCTAGAGGTGAAACCTTCTACACAGTTTTAAGCAAGTTAGTTCTTTTACTTTTCTGCCCTTACAGCATTGGCATGCTTGTAGCACTACTTACCCCTGTGTTCATAAGGATGCAGTGTGCTTATCACCACATTCTTATTTACTGCTTCCTCAGATTTATGCTTCAGTGAAAGAATGAGAAGAAGGCCAGAGAAGACTGAGATGCCTGTGATAGTTTCTGCATAAATTAGACAAAGTTTACAGGTATGGATAGTGTCATTTAAGTGGTACAGCTTGAAAAATCAAATAAGCTTTCAAGCGTACAAGTCTTTTTTTCAAATCTGAAAATGAATCAGCAACTTCCCAAGCTAAATACAGAACAACTGCTTAGAGTTTGGTTAGGTATGTATCAAGTAGACCATCTGTAAAGAAAAGGTTAGTAGCATCCCAGGAGTACAGGGGATGTTAATCAGGGAAGGGAGAGAGTATTATGAAAATACTCATCATCTAGGGGAAAGGAGGAGGGAGTGAAAACCCTGTAGAAATCTGCTTGAAAGTTATGTGCTGTAAAAATAATTTTTCTATTGAGTCAGTGGTATATTGGTATGCAGTCCGTCCAGAAGCTTGTCTTAATTTTCCAGATAAACAGGTACGTTTGATAAAAGATGACCCCTCTGCCTAGAAACTTTGTTACATTTATGCCCTGAAACCATCAGGACTACAGCAAAATACCACTGAAATGGAACATGCAGAAATTAGGGCACTAATTAATGTGAGTTATATGACTGCTCATGACCAAAAGAGCTTTTTGTTCATAAACCCAGCATTTTCTATTTTATAGGATATTGATTTCTAGCTAGGGAGATGGAGAGTTGCTCAGAGAGCTGTGGAATCTCTGTCCTTGGAAGTGTTCAAGACCTGCTGGGACAAAGCCCTGAGCAGCCTGGTCCAAGGTCAGTGTTGACCCCACTTTGAGCAGGAGGTGGGCGAGTGACCTCCCCAGACCCCTTCCAGCCTCAATGATTCAGTGTTCCGATGTCTCATTTCAGATGTCTGATTCATACGATTAAGATGGGTGCGCCCTCTCCCTAGATGAGCGGTTGTATGCTCCTTCCATGGGCAGGTTGGGGTACCTCAGTTGGGTACTTTTCCCCGTACTGTATTAATGTAATTAAAACTCAGTGACCACATTTAGACAGTATTAATTCTCCCTACACTGTAACAATAGTTATGTTTTAGTAGAAATGCTTTGTCCCTGGGCAAAACAGCACAATGTTCTTCCAGCAAATCAACAAACTGGAATAGGAGAAGGCCATTTTTCCTTGACACATGCACAGTGAGTTCAGGTTCCCCAAACCAAAGTAGTTAGCTGGAAAGTCCTTACTCCTTATGTTGATTATCTTTGTTTACATAGTCTAGAACTAGGAATGCCAGTTTGAGTCTCACATGAACGACCTTAAATTTTCTAAGTCAGAAATGCCATTTTCTCCTTATTTTTTGTTAAAACTATTTGTTGCAGCCAGAATTGCCTTTTGTTGCAGCCACAGAATTGCCCTTTGTATGGTCCTCCTTTCCATCTGTCCAAAAGGTATTATTTTTTTAATTTGCTAAATAATTCATTGTGGGAAACTTCTTAAAATATCCCATTAAACCCCTTCACAAAATATTAATACTATGTTTCCCTCTCACCTACGATCATAGATGTGATACCAAAACTTCACTAATTCTAATCTAGTGGAAAAATTAAGTCTTTTAATGGTTCTGTTCTGAGTCCAGCAAAAAAGGCAGTCAGGATACAAGTTTATATGCAAAACGCTGAACTCTGGTGCTTTTCAGATGTTCTGCAGTTCCTCAAGTTCAGTATATAGTATCAGGGTGAAGTGTAAGGCCACAGAACTTTATAGGTGAGTAAACAACCACCTACTTGTACAAATGTTTCTGCAGAAATATTTTGCAAATTTGCCGTGAAATTAGCGTCACTGTGTAACTCTCTCCTCCCTTTTCCTCCTGAGCAGCCCCAGAATAGTCTATAATAGATACTTGCATTACCTTATTTTCATCTAAATTAGAATTTGCTGTATGTTTATTTTGATTCAGTCATCAGGTTTCTTTCAAAATCCAGTTAAATGTAGGTATCCATAGGACAATGCACCTACAATTCTGCTCAGTACAGGAGACCTGGTGTGCTATTCAAAGCAGGAGTGGCTGGTGTTGAGTTTGCTAGATGAAGGAAAGTGGATGTAGTATTCAGGGCACGTACAGCCAGATTTTTTTGGTCCCATAATATGAGACAAGCAATAAGGATGACATTTGTAGTCTGCAGATTTTTAAAAACTAAGGTATAGTTTCTTTTCTTGTCCTCTTTTCAAGACCTTTGGAGCATCTGATAAAATTACTACTCTCTGATACGTTCTGCCTTTGATAACTTTTTGAAGGTTTGTAGAAAGACTATTTTTATTCTCAGTTGCTTTAGAAGTGGAATGTTCTATACGTCACTGTACCTAACATTTGGCTTTCTGACACTGTTTTTGGGTATGACAGTCTTATGTACCTGTACACAAATGGAAAAACCTTCTTCTGAGTAACTTCAGACTGTAGCGCTAAGCCTTTGCAGTACAACTGCTGGTATTTACTAATGCATCATGGCAGCAGTAGGTGCAGTTAGCAGAAACATAAGAGAAATAGAATTTTTATTTACTTAAAGTGACAATTAAGACAGAAGGAAGTGCTAAAATATACAACAAATAGGGAAAATGCAAAAGTAAAGTTTTGTTTTCTGTATCGGTTTACCAGTTAGTCCGTAACATCTGAATGTAACATTTGACTATTCTAATTCAGGTTTATTTTAACTAAGAAAAGTAGATGGAATAGGAGCTCTGGAAGACAGAACACCCTGTCTTTACTCAAAAGTAATTAATTGCCTTTCCTTGAAGAGATGTTAGTTTTGTTTTTGTTTGTTACTCGAATGTCGTTTCCTGTCAAAATGGGTAATGTTTTACAGAATAAACTAGAATCAGGAAACTGAGTATTTTTTGCAGAATGGAATTCCTTTCGCATCAGCCATAGGAGCTGACATCTTTTTGCTTTCCTTGTCCCTGGTTCAGTCACATGCAGATGAACGGACTTGGATCCTTCTCCTCCCTTGGCTGAAACCTGTTATTCAACAGAGGGATTTTGCAGTGTTAACAGTGTATAAGCATCTTGCAATCCTCCATTCTTTTCTCCTGAAATACTTTGACCTTAACTGTTTTGTATCAAATGATGTATTTTAAACTTTAAGAAGCGGTTTAGCCAAAGTCCTTGACTGAACTGCATTTTTCTGATAGAGAAAGGAATGTACTTCAGATTTTATGAAAATTCAATTGTGATTTACTCTAGTCTTTTTTCCTACTATGCTTCCATCCATTTTCAATCTTAAGGCCCATCAATTTAGAAGACTTTTTTCCTCTTGGGGAATCAAAATATTCTGTTAGCAGGGTTCAGTTTTACCCTTGGTGAAAGTATGAACTAACATGTCCTTTTTCATTCCATATATACTGAAATTTTTAGCTCCAGAGCTGCTTCAGCATGCCATTCAGCTCATGAATTTGTCCAAGTTACAATTTTCTTAATAAAGAAAACTGTCCAATGTTATAAACAAGGAATAGTCCCAATCCACCAAATGAAATCTAAAAGTGAGAGATCCTTTGCAATTATTTAAGCCGAAGGGAGCTTTGTGGCAAATGCAAATTAAACCAGGCTTTTCTGGGATAGTGTAAAGCTATTCACAGTTGCGCCCCAATTACATTTTATTTGAGGCTTTTCCCCATAGAAAAGAGTACTTTTTTTCCTTGATATTATCTGTAAGTTATAAAACTTTGTCTATCATAGTGCTTGAAAGTTTTTAAATGGAAAAACATGTTTGGCATCTGAAATCTCTTGAGAAGAAATCAGAGCTTTTTATTGAAGCTTGCTAGTCTCTTTCTATGTTTGAAAGTTTAATAATTTTGAAGAGAACAAAGTAAATTTGAGGTTTTCTGGATTTTGTTTTTCCTTAAGTGAGCAGTACCAGCAAGAAGGGAGTTTTTGTGTCATGAAATTGGTAGGTCTTTTTCCCCTAGGTTTTCAGTAAATGTTTGAGAAGTAGGAATGTAATTAAAATCTTATTCTCCCTTTGGCTGCATTTTTAATTTTGAATTCTAACCCTCACACAGCGTAATAGAGCTTTGCTTTAGGGTGTTTTATACCTCTATCAAAGTGACTGAAGTAATTAGTATTTTATACATTTTGGTAAGTATTTTGTCACTGGAAGCACCAGTGCAGGTGAATGATAATGGTTTGAAGCTCAGGCAGTGATGGGACCCTAAATGAGAATGTCGCCTTTTAATCAAGAGCACTTGGAGTCTATGGTATTGAAATGCCCTACAGAGAACACAGAAAAGCCATCCATCACTTTGTGACAGTCCAATCTTTTAGTGCATGAGTAAAATTTTATTCAGCCTTTCTAAGGCGGCTGGAATATAAGATGTCTTAATTCACCTCAAAACAGCAGTGTAAAAGTTCAAAAGCATAATGTACAGATTGCTTTCTGGACAGCTTATGTGTCTTTATGTATTATCTTTATTTAGATTGCAAGTGAAATGTTTTCCATGTCCTGCTTCAAACACCTCCCCCCCTCCCTTTTATGTACTCAACAGGAGAGATTATTTCTACATTTTAGTCATATGTTTGGAGTTAATTTGCATAGTTGATTAACTCTTGATGCTCAGCGGAAATACCCAGCAAGTTAGAGGGAAAGAACTGCTGCTTTAAGGAAGGCAGATTTCTTAAGTCTCACACAGAAAAGTAGTTTGATAGGTGACTCAGAAATCCTCTGGTGAATGCTTAGAAGAAGCTGAAATATATTTAGTGACAAGTACTTTGAATGATAAACTAATATTATAATAATTCAACAATCTAATTTCAAGCTTTGTGGTGTTATGTTTGTTTTTAACAAGTCTCCTTCAGCTTTCTTTATAAATGAAAGCAACAGCAACATCTGAGGACTATGTCGTAATTAAATAAAAATATTTTTGTTGTCGGGCATTTGGGAGATTTACATTTGATGTCAATGGAAGCAGAAATCTTGTCTTTTTAGATGAGTTGGCAATGATGAAACCCATTTACTTAAAGGGATTTACTCCCAATTTACACTGTATGCATGACTCTGTTGCCCACCCTACAAGCTGCTTGAAATCAAGGACATTGATCTGCACTGTACTTAATACCTGTTTTCAGCTGGCTACTACTCAGGTTTTTTGCTTAGTAAATTGAGGTTTTCAGTACTCTGTGGAACAAAATTTGCCACGAATATGAAAGATTTGTTTTCTTCGTTCCTGGCATTTCAACATTTTCAAGCTGAAATCTTTTTTGTCCTACTTTAAAATAAGGTAGGACCTCCTGTGAATCACATAATCATAGACTGGTTTGGGTTGGAAGGGACATTAAAGATCACCTAGTTCCAACCTCCCTGCCATGGGCAGGGACACCCTCCACTAGACCAGGTTGCCCAAAGCCCCATCCAACCTGGCCTGGAACACTTCCAGGGAGGGGGCAGCCACAGCTTCTCTGGGAAACCTGTTCCAGTGCCTCACCACCCTCACAGGGAAGAATTTCTTCCTAATATCTAATCTAAATCTACCCTCCTTCAGCTTAAGGCCATTACCCCTTGTCCTATCACTCCCTGCCCTTGTAAACAGTCCCTCTCCAGCTTTCCTGTAGGCCCCTTCAGGTACTGGAAGGCTGCTAGAAGGTCTGCCCGGAGCCTTCTCTTCTCCAGGCTGAACAACCCCAACTCTCTCAGCCTGTCCTCACAGGAGAGGTGCTCCAGCTCTCTCATCAGCTTCGTGGCCCTCCTCTGGACTCACTCCAACAGCTCCATGTCTTTCTTGTACTGGGGACCCCAGAGCTGGACGCAGTACTCCAGGTGGGGTCTCACAAGAGTGGAGTAGAGGGGCACGGTCACCTCCCTTGACCTGCTGGTCATGCTGTTTTTGATGCAGCCCATGACAGGATAATGTTCCTAAAATACTACCGTGTACCAGAGTGCTGAGGGAGAAAAGGCTGGGGAAATTGTATCGGGCTTCATTTTAGTGAGTGGAAAGGAAGAAGGAAAAAGTTGTTCCCGCTGAATATAAGAACTAGTAAAATGCAGCCAGATGGGGAAGACATGCTTATACATCTTACTGAGTAAGTCCTTCCAGCAAAGCTTTCCTTCAGAGAAGTAGAGAGAGTTAATCTGTTTCAAGAGAGTGCTATTTCTTCAGTCTTACATTGTTTTTGAGTCTTCAGTGAGTTTGCTTTCAGAAATACACTATGCTAATAATGTTGGTGATGAGAAATTTTTTAGCTATCATTTTAACTTGAGCGTAAGCACCTCTAAATTCTGACACCTTTCTCTGTGGATTGTTCCCAGCAATGTAGAGCTGCATTTTTGCCTGCCAGGGTGTACGTGTTCAAGTTTTAATGGCTCCTGTCATGTCATCATGCAAAGTTAAATGAATTAAATATTCAGAATGTGTAAGAGCCTGTACCAGGCTTGTTATACAGTGAGAGCTAATATATTAATCAAACAGCTTAATATATGTTCCAGTATGAGCAGTATTAGCTGGGACTCTATTAAATAGCTGACATTCAGAGTCTACTCCCAATTTTGAAAAGTCTGCTCATATCATCGCTGCTGTCATCTAGTGACATTCATGCTCTGTTTCCACATGGCATTCTCACTCACTGTAATTGGCTGCTAGTGAAAATACAGGTATTATCCATCTATTTTAGAAATTACCATTTGCTTCCCTGGCTGCATGCCACAGCTTTGTCAGGATGTCACAGAACTTTAGCTAAGTAAGTTGCTACAAGTTGGATATTGCTGCTTTAGAAGTAACCTACTGCAGGAATAATTAGACAAATACCATTACTGAGGCTGAGTTACAGCAACAGTATCAATGAAATTCAGAATGTCATTGTGGTGTTAGTGTGATTATGCAAATCAACTGCCAAAAGCAAGTAAAAATAATTTAAACTATTTATTAAGCTTTACATACAAAGGTTGGAGACCAGTGGGTTCCTCAGCAAGCCAAATTCGATGCTTGGGGGAAAGTTATCACCAAGTGTGAGGGCTTGATTTAGCACCAGATCCCTCTTACTACTTACTTTTCAATAGTGACGTACAACCTCCTAGTCATCACTTTAAGACAAAGCCAGAGTATCAGAAATACTGAACGCAGAAACAAAACAAAAAAACTACATATGTAATCGCCTTCATCTACAATTGCTGTACTCAATACAGTGTTAATACTGGCTAACGAATAATTTGCAGAAAACAAAACAGACAGAGAAAATCAATGTTTACAGTATTGGTTTTGCTCCCTTAAACTAGAAACTCCCTTTCCAGTTCTTAAAGAATTTATTTATGCATTTAAGTTTTGTTTTACCAACACAATGTTCCGTTTACCTTCTGTCATGGTTTAACCCCAGCTACTATGAATTCTATCCTAGCCCAAACTAGCACATCTTCTATTTTTAAATTTTGTTTTACCATGTGAAACTCTAACATCTAGCAAAAATGGCCACTGACAATCATAGTGTGCCTTCAGTGATGTGCAAATCCTTTTTTTTTCCTAAGCCATGACATGCATGGTATGCACTGATAGGATGCCAGAAATGCACAAATTTGCATCTTTGACTTTTATGTTTTATATTTTTATGTTTCTTTTACTTTGTAAAATCCTATTCATCTAAAATAATAAAAAATGTTATAGAATATAATCCAAAAGTAAATAGATAAGAAATGATACTTCAAAGTAAATCAGTTATTCTGTTATGCAGTTTTCATCCTTGTTGGGAAAAAAAACCCCAAAAAAGAATGACGATTCAGACAAGCACTTTCATAATAAGCTAATTCCACCTGGTATTTAGTCCCATCACAGACACCCATCCCAAACCCCACAATGCTGATTCCACCTAGAAATAGCCAAAACAAAGAATTCGGCTTCCATGGTCTACAAATTTTGCTTGTCCTCTCCCTAAATAAAACCAGACAGATGGAGCAATCTTTGGAAATCATGTGAAAACCAGTACATCTGCGGTAGGGAATTTGGAACAGAATATATTGAAAAAATTAATAGATCTACCAAAACCTAAGACTGAAACTAGTATGTGAATAGGCAGCCTCCCAATGTATGTTTTCTCCCAGTACAGACAGCATATACAGTAGGGTCCAAACTAGGCTCATTCCTGGGGTTTGGCTTTATTCAAAAGAAGCCAGTGTTAAGGTAGCAAAGCTTAGCTCAGGTCTCTTCCCCAGACTTGGCCGCTCTTACAGCAAACCTCTTCCGACTGCCGAGTGTTTGCCACAGACCTTCGCTCTCTCTTGAATTTTTGCCGTCTCCTAACCAAATGAAGTCCTCGGCCAGCTTCCTCACTTGGCCGCTGTCACCCCGTCCTAGTACATAACGAGGAGGACAGCATCCCACCCAGCTGGGATGCACTGAATACTTGAGAGACGGTCTTGTGAAAAGAAATGCAAAAAAGAAGCAGCACCCCTCACTATTGCTCCTGTCTATCCCAGGAGGGATAGAGGTTGCCAACCTGTCACACTGTGGTTTTAGTTAAAATTCAGCTAAAGCACATAAACACAACTTTATAGAGGGAATAAAATTGCACAAGTGGTGCTATAAGAAGCCTTTGTCCAGCTGTCTACAAACTTTAAAACATGCCATTCCAGCCACAGTTGCTTTACACCTGGCTAAGGAGGATACTAAGGATGAGGACGAGGACAGAGGGAGGTGTCATGAGAAGTGGTGGCAGTGTGGACCTCTGTGGAGGTTAAGAGCCAGGGGAAGAACTGATGGGAAAGGATGAACATAGTTACTGATGACTTAGCTGCAGTCTTTACTGTAGTGGTTTTATTGTTATTTGGGGTAAAACTAGCGTAAGTATGTTCAGCTATACTGAAATCACACCTTCATTTGCCAGTGCACGTGTACCTTGTAAATGTAAAGCCACTCCAAAGTCTTTGTTGTTATAATCTTCAACGGCCTATGGAGGAATACAGGCTGCTTAGGGACTACTGTAGCACAAATTCCCTGTAGCCCTAGTTGCATAAACCACTGTGTAAAAGACACAATTTAGTTATAAAGCACTCATTAAAAGCTGCTTCAACATCTCTCTCCTTGAAGTGCATACTGAGCTCCCCATAAAGGATGTTTACATTACAAGATCAGTTAAAAAGAATCTTTAAAGAAGCTATCGAGAGTTTCAGCCCATGGTTACACTTTCTAGCCCTGCTGCAAAGCATTGGGATTATCCTAGTATGCTGGGGGGGTAGGGAGTCAGCTGAGGAACCGGCTGGGTAGAGAAAATGTGCTGGGGACTGGGTGTGAATTTGGCAGGAAGGGGAAGTTGCCCCACGCGTGCCGGGGGTTACAGCACACATTGAGCGGTACGTGTTCCCTGGTGACGGGCGCTTCCTCACCGTGCTCACGAGACCGCCATCGCTTCCTAGGGCTACAAAGGGGATTTGAAGTCATTCCCCTCTGTTTGTCCCAACACATGACAGTGAAGAATGACCTATCTTCCAAACTAAATGCCTAAGCAAACAAGCACATTTGGGAGAGATTTGTTCAACCAGTGTTAAAAGTTAAAGACTACCTTTACTGTACAGTAATTGTTCACTGAGGAATCTTCTGTCAAGCTGTAAATAATGTTTTGTATGATCACTGTATGATTCACTTTCAGGAAACATGGGGTTTGCAGTGCAAAGGTAGATCCATATTGGTTAAAATTCATTTGTCATCTCTCCCCTCCCTTTAAAAAAGCTTTCAAAAAAACAAATGTGAAAGATTAAATGATGTTTCTTATGCTTTAAATCTTGGCATTTAAAAACATAGGCTGTACAGATTTGTAGATTGTTGAGACGCTTTCAGTTTGTGGCTGAAACACTGCTGAGGATATCAGCTGAGACTTCTGCAGGCTGCACGGAAATAGCAGTTCAAAGCTCTGTACTTGCCAGAGTTCACTCCTCTGTGCAGCAGTGCCTTATTCAGGGAGCAGTGCTTCTACTCAACTCTTTAATGTTTTTCCAGAAAGAGAAGCACATTAGATGAGTATCTCTCTTCCATAGTGCTACTGCTAAAAATCAGAGTTTTCATACAAGCAATGCTGAGTGAGGGAACTGACACGCCTCTACAGTATGACTTTATCTCAGTTCCCAGCATTTAACTGGGATCATAGTACTCAGTCCTGCTTGCTTCCCAGTCCATAACAGGGCTCTGAAATCACAGTATCAACTGCATACCGCTATGGTACGCAAGCTGCTTTACAGTCCCGCACACCAGCCTGCATCCTTTGCCTTGGAGAAGAAACCACTGCTCTCAAATTGTCCGTGACACATCCAGAAGCTCCTGCTGGCGTTACGTCTGGGTGGGACTGGAGGATCATTTGGGTGTCCACAGGGCCCAGAAAAGCAGCAGCTGCTGCTCTGGATCCTGCTGCCTCTGCCACTGTGCAAGGGATACTGGCACAAACAAAATTAACATCTGGCTTGTAACGTGATTTATCCTAACTCTTAGCAGCACTAATACCTAAAATCCCTTAGGGGTTGGTCCGGAAAAGAAACAACGTGTAGAATTTACATTGAGGAATTGTCCTGCCAGGAACAGTTCCTTACTTTCCTTCCCAATGCGCCAGCAAGATTAGCACTGAATCCACACAGAAAACCCACTGAAGACAGTGAGTGTACTATGTAAATGTACCCAGCTGCAGAAATTAAGGACTATATATATATAAGGTAGCTCCGTCTCAAAATACTAGATGCTGTTTTGAGATATTGTTGAAATGCTACTCAACACCTGTTTCATAAACAACAGAATACTTAGGAGAAGATCACTGAAGGGGCAAAAGTGATAAAGTAATTAATAAAAAACTGTAGGATTGGATTTAAAACCGACCAAATGGTACCAAATAAAAGATGAGAACACTTTGAAGAATAACTGAGTACTGATTCCTCCACTTACAGAATTTACACTGATAATGAGCAGTATCAGAGATAATTTATTCACCAAAAATAATCTTGTATCTCAAGCCTTGTCTTTCTCAAGATTGATTTTAATGTTTGCTGCTGAAATCCAAAGTGCTGGAAGTGTGCATGTCTAAGAATGTGATTTGAAACCTAGCAACTCATTGTAGAAAGCCACTTTACTGGGAGTTGCTGAAGATACTATTTTCTCTGCTCACTGTCACATAGTGCGCATGTTTCTAAACATCTATCTGCATTTCTTCTGTTTCTGTGACAGTCACTGCCTTTTAATGTTGTCCTCAGCAAGGGAAGAATCAAGTTTGAGCTACATTCAATGCTGCTTCCACTGGTGTTGTTACGGCAGTGTCCCCTGTACTATGATGTTACAGAGGACTGACTGTGGTTTTGAAAATAGATCATCTCTATTCATGTATTTTAATGAGACACTAGAAACGTGCCTATTTTACTTGAATGCGTCTTTATACTGTACTTTGGATATTTAAGACCTCTCTTTGCTATGTTAAAAACAGGCACTGTTGAATAACTGATGTATTTCCCCAAAGAAAAGTTCAACTTGCCTAGTTCCTAATCCTATAATTACTTGTGCATGTAGTTAAGAATACAAACACTTCCCTTGTAATCACATGGAGAAGGATATGCTGAATCATGGCCTTCGCTATATAGTCTCAGTTTCTAGAGGTGCTCCCATAATTCACTAATAATAATGATTCTTTTTTCTCCTACTTAAGAGAGTATCATATCAACACAGAAGGTTTTGCAGTACAGGTTTTCACAGGAAAACATTTTTTTTGTTCTAAATATTATCTGTCTGAAGGTAAAGAAACATTTTAACCACCCGTTCAGTAAATATTGATTTAGCTTTTAGCCAAGCTTTTTGTTCTTCAAGAAAAAAAGAATCAAGGATATGAAAGCCTATTGATTGAACTGCCAAACTCGATGGCAAAATTCTCATTGGCTTCAGTACGGATCGGGATTTCACAAGGAACATTTATATATGTAGCATGGGCTAGTTCTGGTGGTGTGGAGACTTACAGAGTGCTCGCAAAATAAAAAAAAAAACCATAGACTCAGCCATGCAGAACTATCAGAAATTGTTTAGACTGACACACAACTTTTTTAGCTTTCCAATCACACACACACCTTCTCCAACTGCTCTTCCTGCTAACTAAATAAACCATAAAGAAAAGCCTAGAAAACAGCAACTAGTACCAATGTAGATTTTGTGAGGCTTGTATATAAAAATAATATATATTAGAAAATTTTTTTCCCCTCAATCCTCACTCAGGCATGATTGAAGCCAAATATGGTAAATAAACTGATTAATCAATTATTCTTTAGAACCTTGACAAAAAACTTTTGATGAATTTTATATATTCCTGTTAATGCTCTAATACTGAGCATTCTGAAACAAATCCAATGTACATTTCTGCTGTTTCTGGTTTCACACGCTGCCTTGCCCTTTACAGAGATGGCTTTCATTAATACTGAAAAAAAAAATCCCAATGCTGTTTTTACTCAGTAGACTTTGGCCACTCTTCCCCTCTTCCCTTTTATGTGTCAGTTGTAAATTGCTTGACAAATATTCTTTGATGCTTCCCCACTTGCTGGCATGCAACATCTTTAAAGATTCAAAAGAGATAGAAAGGCTAAAAAGGCAACAGGTATGTAACACAGCAGACAGCTCAGTCTCCAGTTAAACTTGCTTGGAGTAACAATCAGTTAAGATTGTATTTTTTCTTCAGGGTGCAGGTGGAGAGGCTATGAACGAAAACAAATTTCTGAACACAGACTCCAGCACAGGATCAGTGGAAACAACCGTCAAGCCTTTACCATTTAAAGATCCAAACTTCATTGTAAGTATATTATTTTAACAAACTGAAATTCTAAACTCTTCAAACAAAACATTAACTAGGATTCTATTTAACTATATTGCTAATGTAAATATTAAGAAAGTCAGCTTAACAGCCAAATAAAAGGTCGGCAATTTTTAAGAAATGCGTCTTAAGTCCATGCCACACTGTGGTCCAACGTGCACACTATATTACAGCATGAAAGTGGCACTGGTCCAGAGGCAGAACTATTATATTAAGTTCTGGAACAGAGTCAGAAAACCTGCTAGATCAAGGTAAGTGCAGAAGTTTTATGGTCTGGATCTCGCAAACTACCACTGCTAGAGAGGAACAATTTATACCGCTGTGAATGTAGGAATCCCATCTTCCAGTTCCTAGCCAAGGCAGGCTGCAAAGCAATTGAACTAGAAATCAGCCAGAGAGTCATTAGCGACTGGCATTTCACTCCTCTCCTGGTCCCTGAAACTCGAACAGACCCGTGGTGTCTGTTTTTCCAGTAATTGCTAGATTTAGAAGCAAATGCTCTGTGCTCCCCAGAAGCCTGGCCTGCTGGCGTTCAGAAGTCATGTAAACTCTGACAGTTGACGAAATACAGGCTGCTAAAACACTCTGAGGTTTAAATTAGGAGAGAAGGTGAAGGAAGACTACAGCTAGTAATGCTGTCACTGCTGGGTTTGTTTTTAATATCTCTTTATCTTCCTGTGCCAGGGCCAACTCACTGGCACACTCTAAAAATGCTTTCTAGGCAAGCAAACTTCTCAGACTGCTGGTCCTAAGCCAGCACTTAGAAAGAAGGATTTTATCCCAGATTTCATTCTGCATGAATAAGATACAATATCCCACAGCATAAAACCTGAGTAATTGGGCATCGCACAGCTCACTAAGCACAGGTTTGCCAGGGGGTATAAAATTAATCTCTGACTTCCAAGTCGCTCTGTGTCTGCTTTGCAGACGGATTCTGTCACAAGAGGGGCATTCAAACAACTGTATACTTTGCTCACTCTAATCCTCCAGTGAGCACCAACGTCTTTGAGAAATGGAGTGTATTGGAAAAGCTCCATTTGCCCCAGAGGCATTCCCTGTAGCTTCTATATATGATTTAAATAGCCACGAGGCCTTGTGCTGATCCTTCAGTTCTTAGAGGGACACCACCATTTCCAAAGAGGCAATACTAATACCTGCATGCTTGAAATAATAATGCATGTGCACAGACTTTGGCAACCGCTGCAGAAATAATAGGCAGTTATAATAAAAACATGAAATTGCCCTCCCCAATACAGTAACTAATTTGAGAAGAAATGTATTGAGTTTTAACTAGCTTTTCGTCGGTACGAACTGGTAGTAACAATTTGGATGACTTTTTGCATCCTTCCAGCCTAATTTGCCTTAAAAGGAAGAAAATAAATCAAATAATGTCTATCTCTCATAAATATGCCCAAGTTTGAACCATTAGCTCACTGCAGAGGATAGACTTAAAAGCAGAGAAGAAGGAAGAAATTAACTTTTCTAAACTTCCTGAATGCAATTTGCATCCCTTGGCAATGGGGAAGGGGAAGACAACCTTCTGACAATTGTGTAGAGCAATGGATAGTTCCACCTGTCCTAGCTCCAGCTTTCCCTGAATTTCACTAGTGCAGAGGTAGCTTTGGTTCATTTGCACTTGGCAGTCATTGCCTTTTGATTGTAGGTATGTGAGGTGAGACTCAGCCCCATTCCTAGGAGTCGTAAATTCATATAAACTCAATAGTTGCTTTTGAGAAACCAGACTGCTGAAAAAACCCCTCATTATGCTATGATTTGGAAGAAAATTCATGTAATTAATTTGAATTAGTAATTTGGTAGTCCATGTATTTTCATCTCATATTCCAGCAGTCTCTATATGTTACAATCATGTCTAGATTACTGAGGTGTTACCCTCAGAGCAAACATTTGCATGTATTTTCCATATTGGACATCCGTTGCCAAAACCCAATATATGGTCAGCTCACGAGCATCTTTTCTGAATATATCTTACATCTACAGAAACAAGCTTTCTCATTGAATCCTTCCTCCTATCCTTCCTAGCAATTTAACAGGCTGATTTATAAACCAATCACAGCAGAAGTGTTTGCAGAACTTTGCTGAGTTTTGATGAGACTGATGTGGCAGGTAGTAATTATTAACAGAAATAACAACAACTCCCCAATTGTAAGAACATTTTCTTTTCTGAAGTAAAGCTGTAAATCTGTGTCCTTTCATCATTTAGAAGTAGTACAGTATGTGGCACAGCTTCTGTCTCTGGAGGGATGTAAATAAATTACTCTCTAGCAATCACATCTGATAACTGAAACTACCATTATAGTACCTGTGGCAAGTCTTCCATTAGCGTACCTTTCAAAATGCAAAATTGTCTTGGCAGCCAACATTCTATTTATTACTCTTTTTCTATTTTTCTGTCTTCTATCCTTTGAAAGAAAAATAAAATTTCCAGAAAGTTTCTCATAGTGTTCATTACATTTTGCAAGATCAGTTGTGTTTTCTACAGTCACGGATAATTTGTAAAGGAGCTAGAACTGCACCTGTAATATGCCATGAAAAGGAGAGAGAAAATTTAGCCGTGTAATCACAATTTTAGACACAACTTTGTAGTAATAAGTTCTAATATGATGGGAAGTACATACAGAATCCTGTAATCTCAGGCTGAACCTAACCACATTGATTTTCCATTTCCATGTAAAAAGCAGATTTTCATTTCCTTCAGTTAATCCTAAACATAGTAGCTTCGACACAGTCCCAAAAGCTTTGTTTTCCTTGCAGCCAAGATTAAAGTGTACAGTGTATTAGCCTGCTGATGAAATAAGTGAGGATAACAAATGGTTCATGACAAGATGAGACATATCAGAAGGACTATGAAATAGAAGTGTCATGCTCTGAAATAGTATTCTTTCTTTATTTTTTCTCTAAACACCGTATTTTTAATTCTAGCACTCCGGCATTGGTGGAGCAGCAGCTGGCAAGAAGAACAGAACTTGGAAGAACCTAAAACAAATTCTTGCTTCTGAAAGGGCATTGCCATGGCAACTAAATGATCCTAGCTGTAAGCTGCTTAGACGCTTTGCATGTATTTATAAATAATAAAATCCACACAAATAACTTTCTTTAAAACAAACCTAAATTATTTCATCAGTGTATGCAGTATCCTGCTTGAACACAGTCCAGTAGTACATTTAAGACTAGTCCAACCACACTCACCAGCCCTAAGTGGAAAGCAGGGGGAAGCAAATAATTTGGAGTATTGTGACAAAGTTCAAATACATTTGGAGAGAGAGTTTAGTAAGGGAAACCTATTTATCCAAACCAGGACAGAACCTCCTTATTCGCATCAGGTTTTTGTCACCTCTTCACTGCTGAGGAGCCGCCTCCTCTGCATACAGCCCAAATACCTTCTGACGGGTGGCTGCTGCTTGATTAGCTCTATTTGAACTATTTTCAAACAGGTTCTGCTAAGCCACATACCTGCAGTAGCTTAGACTTCAGCCCAAGCTTCCTATCCAGCTCCTTATCCTAGATTCTTGGGAGATTTAAATCCTACATCCCCTATTTAGTTCAGTACAGCTGAAACTATACTATTAGCGGTCCTGATTAGCAGTCCTAGCTGGTGTACATCTACAGGAGCAGAGTTACAGCAGTGGTCTTAATCTAGATATACTTCAAGTCTACTCATAAAGTAGGATACTCTTGAAGGTAGCTGGAGGCAGAATGCGATCCTCAGATTTTACTTAAGCAAGTGGAGGCATTTCAGAATTGAGCATATGCATATACTTTTTGTCAGATTTGGTGCTTTATCCAAAAATAGCTTGCCATTTTTTGAAGTGTTTTACATGCAACTGTTACAGAAAAATGCAGACTACTGTGTGTTCCTGGCTATTGTAACTGACAATCTGCTGATGTTGCTATTTCTATTACGTTCTGTTTGCAACAGTAAATTTACAGGATTTTTTTTTTAAAGAAGGTGGGAAAAGAAATTCAGTTGCATATTTAAAACCAGCTGTCTGTGGCATTAGTGTCTTTTGAATTGAGATGATGAGTTTAGAAATTTGATATGGATGGAGCATTTGCATTGATCATAGCATCTGAATGAGGTGCAAAGGAGATCAGGAAGGAGGAAAGAAATGAGTCAAGTACAACATATTTTTGTAAACATCCAAAATTGGGGATTTAACTACTTAAACATACCAACTATATCTTAAAAATAGTTTATGAGTGAGAGCTGCTATCAAAAGGGCACCAAAGAACAGCAATTTTCATCATTTAATTTAAACTTTCAGACAATTTTCTAGGTCATTGACTGGGCTTAAAGTGGTACATGCTTAAAGATTTAACTGATTTAAAAGATTACTTTGCTTTTCTGGATTATAGCATTTCAGAGCTGCAATCTTGAGCAATGTTTTGTGGTCTTAACATATAGCATGCATATGATAATGGCTATTCTTTGCAAATAACTGGCTGCAAGGGAATTCATTAAGACTTGAAAGAAATCCACACATTTCAAATAGCTCTCACATTTTTTCCTTTTGGGGAGGGCAGTTCTTACTGAACTCGTATGAGAGAGGTGAGCAAAGTCAGGCTGCTGTTTACAGTGCTACCAGGCTAAATGTTTTCAGAAGTAATTCTGTTCTGTATTTCTTTGCCTTAGTGCTGCTAGTTAACAGAGACCTCAGAAAGTAAAGGTAGCATTTTAAAGAAGTACTATTACCTATTTATATTTTGGGTTTAGGTTTAAAATACATATAGCACAATGAATTTATCCCTTTGTTTCTCTCTAGATTTTAATATTGATGCTCCTCCTTCCTTTAAGCCTGCCAAGAAATATTCGGACATTTCAGGACTTCCGGTAACTATTTTATTTTTCTCTTCAAAACTGGCATCTCACTTTCCACAATGAAATAAAGCTGGTGCGTACTTTTGTAAAAGATGTACTTGCTGAGGTTCCTATTCAGCCTTGTGCTTAATAGTCGTCCAGGGATTTAGGGCCAAACCTAATGCTGTTGCTACATCACAAAATTCTTAGGTTGTTAATAGATGTCAGGACAGATTCTATACCTTCTCCTGCCAGGTGGCTCCTACCAGACCACTTTCCCAGCTGTAAAGTCTGCATTGGTCCCCACAATTTCTGATTCTTTAGATTGTTACAGTGAAAGTTGGTAGCCCACAGTCTCCATGACTGCTACTTTGCCAAGCTTTAACCATACAGACTAAAACTTTCCATGCTGAGTGTTTGCCTGAGGCTAATTTATTTCTTTATATCTTTTAGAGACAGTTTCAAAAAGATGGCTCAGCAATTTCCAAGAATGAGATGAGGGAAAATTATATTGATTGGCCCAGGTTAAAAAAACCCACAAAACTAAACAATTTGTGATCATTGCTCTCAAACTTTCTCTCAAACAAATCAGCCTGACACAGACACTTGGCATGGACTTTTGAGAATTTCAAATACCCCCATGCTTCAGAGCTGGAACTTGGGAGTTTGGCAGATGTATAGCCTGTGTGTCACAGATGGTCTCTTTTACATGTTTTTGTTAAAGAAAACAGTAAAAGAAAAGGGGAAAAAAATCCACCACATTTGACTTAGATATGGTTTGCACATGCTCCAAAAAGTCTCGGTAGTTACAATTTGGCACCTGAATTCCCCAAAGATTCTGTTGGCACAAACCAGGAGTCAAGTCATTGAATTCTGCCCAACAAAAATTTTTATCTGCTGCTGACACTGTTCCTATGTGACATGAATAATTTTACTTAAATCAAAACAGGTGTTAGTAACAGCGTATCTTTTCACTTTTCACCTTCAGCCCAGAGTGATATATTTTGCAGAAGCCTATGCATTTATTACAATTGAAATGAATGGGAATGTTGTATTTTGGACTATAAAAAGAGCTAAGTAATGGTTACACTAAATAACTACAATAATGAAAACTTTGTAACGTCAAAGAGCCTTAGACAGAATTTCTGGGTCCTTTCCCCCAGTTTAATCTGTTTCTCATCCGTAGGGCACTAGCCCACCTTACGGGCTTGATACCACCTCATAGAGATGCCTGTAAATATACACATTTGTTACGTTGATGCAGGTTAACACAGCACCTTGCATTCTGTGCACTGAATTAAGTGAAAGTCCCTGTTGGGGGAAAAAAAAAAAAGGTGAGCACTTAATTAAGGCCTACCTTATAATGGATTCACAGTGCAAGGCATCAAAGAATAGCTAGAGCACCAACTGTAACCCTGCACATCCTAACGTTTGAGTTCTTGATTTGGTAGCATATGTTTTCTTTGACTTTTTTATTTTTTAAGTAACACATTTAAATAAGGCACCTAGGAGGTGGCACATTTTCCAGCCTGTGCCGTTGAGCATGATTTGAAAACAGTTTGGATTGCTCTGATCAAGGCTGGTAACCCTTGATGATCAAAAGGGGATGGGGAAGCAACATCTCCCTCGCAGATGAACTAGCAGACGGCAAATGGAAGAGATTGCTCACAGACCTAGGGAAAATAATTCCCTCCGGCCAGGCAGACTTACAATCTTGTAAGAGTATTGCTTTGATATAATAGCAGCTTGTTTTCAGACAAGGAGCAGGGGTCAGTTGAACAAGGAACTTTGCGTAAGTACTCCTACTCTATATAAAGATGCAGGAGATGGAGGAAGGGGCGGGGGAAGGTGGACATGTGAAATGAGTAGATTTCACCAAAATAGCACAGATTCCATAGTGGGTCACTTAATGGTGTCCATCTGTTTCTTATCCTCTCCCCTTAGAGTTGCTTTGCAAGTATTAGTAGCATTCACACCAGGTGTTATGAGAGTTGCTGCAACATCTCTGACTTGTGAGGGGCTTATGTGGGGCAGAAGGCATAAGTCCCTTTCACTGCCCCACCTCCAAGGAACCAAATGCTTTCCAGCACCAGCCTTTGATGCATTTAAAAGCTAGTCAGTTGTTGCACATATAGTGAGATGATGATGATGCAGGTTATAGATGTGAGAGAAGACTATGTTCCTACCAGCTAAGGGTCAGTTTAGTCATAGCTGAGTTGTCTTCTCAGCTGCTCGTTTTTTCTTTACCAACACCTCCTTTCCATCAGTGATTTATGTACTCTATTTTAGCTCAGTATAAATACACTCCTTTCTATATGAATCCATTCAGTGCTGCTTTTGTTTCCTTTTTTTGTCTTTCCCCCTTTTTTCTTTTTTCATAATTTTCCATCCTCTAATTGCATCATGAGTCAAGTTTCCTATTTTACCTGGCCTGCAAGGTTTCTCCAGACTATGATAAAAATACCGTGTTTAAAAAAATCTTTTTTATTAAGATAACTGAGACAGTGTGTCCTTTAAATTACTAAGCTAGAAAAGTTTTACTAAATTTGCACTAAATGTATTTTCAAGATCATTTCCTAGTAGGAAGATATGTGGGGTATTAGAATATTTTAGAAATTTAGTATAAGAAAAACATCCCTGTATTTTCTGTGTAAAATCTGAAAGCATTTGTGTAAGAATATATTTTCTGTAGGTTTGCTGGATTCCCCATGGGAAAAAAAAAAGTAAAATAAATTCCTTAGCATTACCCATGTAGGGAAGAATTAAATGGTCTAGCAGGTACAAAAAAAAGAGAAGTGTATTAAAACTCTCATCAGTATATCTGCAGTTACATTAAATGCCACAGTTAAATTCTACTGATCCTCTTCTCTTTCTGTGTCTAACAAAAATGGAATTAAATTTACCAGTGGTCTAAGCAGCGCAGCCAATTGATATTTGTAAGGCAGCCTAGAATTCAAAGGCTATTATTTACTATATTGACACTGCAAAATAAAACTGTTATTTCCAAAGTTGCAAGATGAGTATTTAGATATTTTAACATGCAAAACAGAGTAATTATTTATTGTAAAGCAGATTTAAAAAAAACCTCACCAAACCTTCAAATGTTTATATTTCTCTTCTGAAAATGGATCAGCCTTGTTACTATAGAAACAGACTGAGATAATTAATTTATTGTATTTGAAGAGCATTTATCTGTGGCCTTTGACTTAGTTTTTCAACATGACAGAGATTTTTCTTTGCAAAATCACCTTACTTCACTTTTCTAATCTGTTTTAATTATTGCTGAAGTAGCAGTAGTTTGTTTTCAGACTGAAGTCATGGCATAAATGAGGAGTTTCCATACATTAGTGTGTGCAAACAGTACAGCCCAATACGAAGTATGAGAGTGGTGAAGAACTGCCGTAATATTTTAACCTAGATTGGCACGCAATACAAATTGCGGGTATTTCTTGGCTAGTTTATTACAGAACCATGCACATTTGAAAAGCAGTCTACTTGGTTGGCTTTTTCTTACCTGAGGCCAGATTTAAAGTGTGAAATAAAAATAAATGTATACCTGCTGTAACCATGAAGTTACCACCAGGGATAAATTTACTCCTAATGTCCTAACTTTGCCATTTGTTTGAAAATTAATTGACAGCTTGACTGTTAGCTGACTACATTCAATTAACCTTGTGGCATTTCTTTGTGAAGAAACAAGCTACAAATAACACTTCATTTTCTGCTAAGTCTTATCAGGCCAGACGATCAACTGGATTGTTACCGTGGTCAACAGATCGTTTCCAACATAAAAATGGTAGAGGGCTCTGCGCTTCAGCAGTATGGATGGGGGGGATGCTCCAGCTCTACCTGGCCTTTTCTTTTGTTAGTAGCAATGTCTTAAGGGATCTGAACTGCAGGTGCCTTGCAGCCTGCCACCACCTCCTCCTGTCAGAAAAAGGTACAGAAGACCCTTTCAGAGCCTCGGCAGGCGCTTGGTAACCCCATGCTGAACGGGCGGTGATTGTCCCAGAGGCTGAAGGTGGAGAGGCGATGCCCTGAAGCCTGCCTTCTTCCAGCCCGGCCTCATCCGAGCTCAAGGTTTCTGTAGCAACAGGGAAGGGGAGAGGATGGAAGAAAGCTGGCACCGCTCCCAGGCACCCAGGGTCCAAATATAGCAGAGGATACAAGCGTAGCCCAGGGTTAGCTGGCCAGGCTGCTACCCGGAAAGGAGGCATCTGTAGCAAAGCACAACGCTGAGTTCAAATTTCTTATCAGTTCAGTCACAGAACCATAAGCTGAGACTCCCTTGCTTTAACAACCACTTTAAAGTAAATTAAAAGCTAAGTTGTATGCAGGAAGAGAAAATCAGTCCAAAGCTATCAGAGCACCCATAATTCAGCCTCTTTGTGGGTAATTTATTGGCAGCAGCCTGACTCTTTGGAGAGCTGCCTTGTGAGAGACTGCATGAGGCACAGAGTTGCTAGGGTGAGTTTAGAGAGTTGAGGAATTTCTTTTGCACCGTGTTTTGTATGAAACTATTTCAGCCCTCTGTTATGTTTAATGCATTTCTAATGTGATTTTATAGGGGTCTGTTAACTTCTCATAACACAAGGAGAAAGAAAAAAAATACAAACTTTTGGTCACATGGTAGAACAGCAGTGCTGTTACTGGGAAAAGAAAATTACTATTTTGGGTTTTTTTAATTAGATACTTTTTTTAGTACTGTGTTTCGAGATGTTCTTTGAATAGTGTCTCTGCCATTGTTTCTTTTCCAGGCAAATTACACAGATCCCCAGAGCAAGCTGAGATTTAGTACTATTGAAGAATTTGCCTATATTCGGATGCTCCCTTCAGATGTGGTTACAGGATACCTGGCTCTAAGGAAAGCAACAAGCATTGTTTCCTGAAGAGAGCAACTATTAATGTGTATCGCTTGTGAAGACTGCTAATTTTGAGAGTCATGGTGGAAACTGACTGTGGGACTGAGGTTCCTTAAAACTATCTGTGGATAGTTACATCTGGAAGTAGTTGATGATACATGGATTTGAAGAACATATGGATTTAATTTTGATAAATGCTGATATTTGTTACTTTGCCAATTTGTAAGCAATTTGGTTTGGTGAACAGAATAACTTGGACCTTAAGGATACGTATCTGCACCATAATGTCTGAGTTAGTTATATTAATTTCTGTAGAGACAGGATTTCATCTCCACCCTGTATATTTTTACGTACTGCTCTGGCTCAGAAGAGTCATTTGAATTAAGGAAAAGGTACCAAGATATCCCAGCTTCTAAACCTGCTTTGCAAATGCACTTGCCACTTGGCTATGAAGGAGTTTGTCCCATCTGTAAAATGAAGCTAAAATCCCTAGCAAGTGCTGCTGTTCTGATGACTGTTTATGGTACCAAGCACTGTGGAAATGAACAGCTTCACAGAAATACTTACATTGCAGAACTGTCAGCATAAATAAAGTTGGACTCAAACTTGTTTCTAAAATTTCTTAATGAATATGCATAACAGGGTCAAATCAAATCAAATCACCAGGTAACTCTTAATCATGACACTTTGTAGTTTTTGAGTGCTTCATTTCACAGCCTGACTGTTCTTCTACCTTTGCTAGTTAGTACACTATTAGTACTAATTAGTACAAAAAAACATACTAATTTCCCAGACTTTTTAAAAACGATGCTAAAAAAAGCAGGAATTGCACTGTCCAGTGATGTTCTGACACCCAGACAGTCTTTAGCAAGGTGAGACCTCCTAGGTCAGGACACTGACCTTTGCACCATGAAGAAGAATAGCGGATAGCAACTGAACGTTGTCACCCTTTAGAGAAAGGAGACTGAGAGTTTGGACTCTTGTGGGGGGGCGGGGGGAGCTGAAAAGTACATGCCAACATCAGAAAGACCATGATTTCCTGAAACTAAGTCTAGTGGCAAGGGGGCAGAGGGTTTTCTGGCCATTCTTTTTGTCCTCTTTCTTATGACAGGTTGCTGATTTGTTGTCTTCCCACTGCTGCATCTTTGTCCCAGCCTTAGACTCTTGTCAAGTTTTTAATCTGGACTCCAAGTTCAGGCTCAGCCATTCCTAGCCTCCGACCACACAGCCGTCACACCCGTACTCCAATTGCCCTGCAGCTGTGGCACTTCCCTGCCTTAGCTCTCTGAGCCAGTGGGTGTTAGCCAGCAAGGCGGCTACGCGAGTTCCCGCTTGCTGTGGGAATCCTCTGCTCCTGTGTGCAAAACTGCCCAGTGGAAGGACTCGTCCCATAGCTTGTTAGTCCTAGACTGCCCAGGTCACTAAGGAGGTGAGATACTCATCACAAGTGAACGCAGCGGTCCCATCTCACCGAAGCTCCATCATGGATGTGGGGATCTCGTGCAAGGCACCTCTTCCCTCTGAATGCGCAAGCAGCACGCAGTGGTGACTAGTTAGCGTCGAAGCTGCACCTTGAATGCACATTTCTGTAGGCATGATAATTATTAGAACAGGTTTGGTTTTTTCCTCATTGAAAGAATAAATATGCAGAGTGTTATTAATGCTAGTTTAATTTCAACTCCAAAACAGGAACAACAATAATGGGACACATTGTTTAATGAAAGTCTGTGGGACTTGTCCGTCAGTTTTTGTGATCTAATATTTACAAAACCAAAGTAATTTAAAAACTCTTTGACATGTTTACAATAGATCCTTCAAAGCCCTGGATACCAGATAATGCTACAACTGTATCACAGAACAAAAAAGAATAAGACAGGATATCTCTCTTCATGCCAGTAAGCATCCAAGCCACATTCTCTCTGCATCCGAGTTTTAGAATGGATGTTTTTAGCTTACTCTATGTACTGAAGATGTGTTTATAAGATAAGCTTAACATTGATATGAAAAGAAAACACATAGAAATGCTGTAAGATCATTTATGCTTTAAATAAGCAGACAGCAGCTCAGCAAATTGTATTTCACCAGCTTGTTCTCTCCCACAAATATTTTTAACTTTCTTTGGGAATGACTTTAGGAGCCCAGGCTTCCTCGCCATCAGAAGTGCTCTACACACTCTTGTGCTGTTCTCAGCTGATTTCCATGCTTATAAAATGCTTATGCATTCCATTTTCAAAACCTAAGTGTCCTACTGAATCAATCGGCATCAGAAAAGTAAATACAGCTTAGATTTAGCAAAAAAAGTTAGTAACTCTTTTCTCAATGTTTTCTGTCCACATGATGGCTGCTAGATTCCCTTTTCTGTCCTGGTTTCTTCCGGGTAGCTACTACCCCTTTTTCCTTAGTTGGTAGTACCTCACTGTTACTCATTAGCTGTGCAGTAGTGAAGCCAAGAGTGATGAGTCAGCCACCAGAACCATTCAGCCTTACATTGATCAACAACACTTTACTATGTCGAACAATCAAAACAAATTTGTTTCAGCAGGAAGCCGAGGACGGAAAAGATCTAGCAGCCAACATGTACGACATTGTTCAGTCCGACTAGGTTCTTTTTTGGGAACAGCACGTGGACCTGCTGCTCTCATCAATGCCTGCTAGGAGGGAACCGAGCAGTACCTACCTTGCTGCATATAAGAGAAAATACGGGTAACAGAAGAGCTGGTCTGTGCCACGCAGTAGTTCTAAAGTATGTATTCTTGCCAGCTTAGAAGTGAAAATTGAGGAGTATCTTTATATTTTAATGTACTTATGAGACATTATCTAGATAAACATAAAGAACTTGAGTTTAAATGGCAAAGAGGACAAAAGGAAGGCATTTGAAAAGAGCAGCAGCAACAAATACGATTTCAGACTTGAGGAGAATGTATTTTGACTAATAGTACTGCCACATCCGTAAAGCAGAAAGCCAGCAGTCAGGGTAAGGACTAATTTGTTCAAGTACAACCGTTACTATCTGTGAAATATCACCTGAGTGCGTCACTTAATACAGACCATGGATGGCTTCAGCATTAATTCGTTCCCCTGTCACCCCCCTCTGCTTCCCCTGTAATGGCTTACAGCACACCAGCTGCTAAGCTCCCACAGAAATCCCACTGAGATTGATGGAAAGTGAGCTTGTCCAGCAACTCGCAAGGTACAGTCCAACTGGCAAAGCTTTACCCTTAGTCTTTTCGGTGGGTGGAAAGCATATTTTCCTCACCTGATCTGTCCTATGCCTCAGGAAGAATGAGGACATTCACCAGAGGCCAAGCTCCTGTTTTTCTGTGCAGCTACCTGCCCCACACACTGCAGGGCCAGCAAAGGCTGGAGGTGGGGGGTCACCTCCAGCTTACTGTGGGGTTTTCTGGTTGTGTTTTGGGTTTTGGTTTGGTTTTTTTTTTGAGACTGCAGTAGCTTGTATTTACCTCATGCTTTGTGTGGATCTGCTTGCTTACTCTCGAATGCCGGGACAAAGCAGGCAATGGCCCCTTCAGCAGTCGCCCCCAGGGCAGCAGAACTGCCTAGTATGGCCAAGGCCCTGGTGCTGCAGGACACTGCTGCAGCTGGGCAGGGGCTACAGGACTGTGGGGCTGGCTGGCTGCTCCAGAGGGAAGGGGTCTGCTGGGGGCGATGAGAGGACCAAAGCTGCTGCCTCCATCCTTCCCAGCCTCCCTAGTGGATGGGAGAGCAGGATGCTGGAGCTCTAGGGCTCTTGCCATAAATATTCACCGCTGGTTTGTGCAGCAGGTCTGGACCCATGGAAAATTCCTGCCCTCTGCTGCATCTGTACTGGGAATGATCTTGCCCCCATGTCCCAGAAGGGAGCAAAATTAAATTCAGAGAGGCCTTGGGCCAGCTCATTTCAGAGTCTCTGCATTTCACTGTCCTGTATTTCCCTGCTTTCTCCCATGATAGCGTTCTGGATCCCTATGGAGTTGCTATATATGGGCTTCCATGGAGGACGGGAGTAGGGAGCTGTACCTTCATCTCCTCTGACAGAGGCCTGTAAGTGCCAAACCCCACCAAAGCACAAGGAGATGCAGGTAAGCAAAGGGGAGGCCTTTTTACTGGTGAAGAATATCAAAGTAAAAATTAACTAGTATAAGGTTAAAAAGCTTTTGTAAGTCCACTCTGTTAAGAAAAAAGGTCAAGCTCCCTGCATGATTACAATCTTTTTTTCCTGAAGGGCTAAGTAATCTTTAATAAATTAATACAACAATAATTTATTACTAGAAAACTTACTAATGCATTTTAAGGCCTCTTGCAATCTCTAACAATGTACGTGGTTTACACACTCCAGACAAAACAGCACATAGTTTTTCTGAATCACTTCAGCGAAGACGACTTTCATAGACGATGTTAGGTTCTGGGAGAAAAACTCTGACTTAGATAATCATACCACTAATATTAGAATTCACAGAAATCCCTTTGTGTGTTTCTTATTTTAGTACGTGTCCCCCAGTTAAAAACCACTTTTCTCTGCCTGTTCGAGAGTGGATGGGTGGGACATAATAATACATCTTCAGGTAAGAAAAACATTTTGTTTAAGTCCATTTGGTATCTCTATGTGTTGCTTGACTTTGTTTTGTATTATCTGAGAAGCTTAACAAATCCAGTCTTTCCACATGATTACACTACTGTAAATCACAACCTATGGACAGAAATAGCAGTAATCTCTTGGGAGAGATAATAACAACTAACACACACTGGTAAGTAGTGCTTGTGTGATTGCACACAGTTTATGACCTATAAGATCACATGCACTAAGTACAGAACATTGCTTTCTCTGACACTGTAGCCTAAAATCAATAATCTCTACATCAAAATCATAGTACTAGTGGGCTAGACAACAAGTTGGGTTTGGGGCTGGCTTTGGTTACTGTTTGCCAGCATGTTCTCCTCTGGGCAAGAGCTCCCATCAGTTGCTTGCGTGCTGACTGCTGTGGCTCTGTGACTTGACTCCAGTACACCCAGCAGAGCACCCCAGAAAA